TAAAATTAGAATAGTGAAAACGAAAATTGAACGGAATTTTGAAAAACCGTCGTTTTTTCGAGGATCGAGTCCTAGAATGTTTACTAGCTTGAGCGTTTTCTCCATTTTCTTCGAAACTGAATCGAATATACCCTTCTCTTTGTAAAAGAAAGGTATTTTAAAGCTATTATGTTATTGCTATCGGCTAATTAAGGAGTTGGAAACTGCGGCTTTTTTCACACATTTTCACAGATTTGACGGCATTTTTGCCTTGACTGCTACGAGGAAATTGCGAGTCGCGGAAAACAAGCGCATGTGCTGAAATAACGATTGAGAGAAAATGGGACGGAGCCGATAATCGCTTCAGGATTTAATCAATTGCACTAAATTGATCCAATCACGAAATCACAGCATTAAACTCTGTTAATTAAATTTTAAAACTGTCATTATTTCAATGATTTTCCTAGAAAATTGTAGCATTTTCTATCAATTGAAATCGGACTTATAAAAATTATAAGCCACTTTAAGAGCAATTAGAAAATATAATGTTTTAAAATTGAGGGTTGTTATATTTTTTTTAATTAAAATTTTACATTAAAAAAGTTAATAAAACGGAAATGGAGTTCAATTTTTTTACACTAATGTATACATCAGAAGATATAGCTGTTAGGGTACAATAAAGCAACTGACTCTGTTCTCACTTATTTTTAGAAGTGCGCCAGAACTCAGATACCAGGAACATGAAAAAAATGTTTAAAAAATTCTATCTGTCAAAAAATTTAGAAATTTATTTTTTGACATTTGATATTTTTTTATGTCTAATGACACTGATGATCTTGTATATGTTTTTTACGATTATTTAACAAAAGTACAAAAATTTTGCGAATAAAAGCCACAGATACACAGATAAGATTATACAGAGTTATAATTTAGAATACAGGTTCCTTGTTTCCTCTTCTAATAGCAAAAAACTTGGCAAAACTATTTTCCCAACAGAAGTAAATAGAGTCAAAGTGCAAAATTTAAACTCTCAAAAATTTTTTTTAACATTTTTTCCATGTATCTTACCTTATATGGCATTTTTCTCTAGGGCGCGAAACCAAGTGAAACATAAGAAAAAAGCCACAGATTACCATCGCTATAATTCTTGAAATTTTAGTGAAGATTAGGTTGTGGCTATTCTTAGAAGTATGTACAGGATGTTTCAAGTTTTATTCACATCTCTTAAAACACCTCTTTTTTTTTAAATATAAGAGCATGTTCAACTTTTTAACTCTTTACTTATAATAAGTAAATAGTTTAATAATTTTTATACTTTTGTTTAGCTTATTATAATTTGAAATCAAAGATTATTGTGAATGTGATTTATTGATATTGAAGCATTTATTATTATCAGTTAATGTAAAAAACAGCAAAAACATTTTTTCGAAAAATATTTTTTTAGTTCTATAATAGTTATTTATGTACCAAGTCAGTAAAGTGATTCTTTATCGAACGAGTTTGAGATTATGAGCCGAGTGAGCGAAGCGAGCGAGGCGAGTAACAGACGAGTTCGATAAAGACACTTTACTGACGTGGTGCATACAAAATTTTATCGCCAACCACAAAATTTTATGATTGAAAAAATGAGATATTATAATTTACTAATGTCAATGCCATTTTTTGCTAAAAGGGTTGCTTTCACCTAGAATAATACGACCACAACGAAGAAGGGGAATACTCTTTCGATATCGGAAAAATATGCGAGTAAAACGTTTTCSTTAWWATTTTTATTCCYTGTTTTTGGCACCACTCTATGAATATGTCATACCWGCGATTSTATTTTTCGAGTGATTTGTCTGGTAGAATTTCGAAAGACGTCTCTAACGACTTCTTCTGAATTTCAGGTGGCGTGCACTGAATGTCTTCTTAATTTTTCTATAAATAATTCGCTACAAAACTCTTATAGTTAGAACAGTGAGAGTGACAAACGATTTCTGTTTAATGTCAAACAGTCGTGGCTGGCTTTGTTGAAAGATATTAGCGGCAGGTAAAGTATTTTTTGGTACACGCTCCGCAAAATGATACTTTAGCGAACTCATTTGAGTCCGCAAAATGCTATTTTAGCGGCCTAGTACTTTTTATCCATTTTAGCGGACTGAAAGGTAACTTAGCAACACATTAGAAACATGATTTTATTGCAAAATAAACAATAAATTTACATTGAGAAATGGAAATGAAAATTACAGTTTTTAGCATTTAAAACTATTTTCAGAAAAAGAAAGACCTTTTTCAGTTAGGTTTTTCAGATTTGAAGTGATGGATTTGTTTGAAGATTCTACTGACGTCGATGTTGATGCAACCACGTCAACAGAATTCGCCACAGATGAAATTGATGCACCTGATTCTTTTTGTCCCATGATCAAAGCTGCCACTTTCTTCACTGCAGGATGCAAACTCCGTAGTGCATACCTTTTCGTCCAGATAGGCCAACATCACATCTTCATTCACGAGAGTGCCTGCTTCCAACCACGAAGCATATTCTTTTTCATACTGGGCTTTAGACTTCGCCGGAAGCAAATCCGAATCAATTATTTTTCCTTTTTCGGAAATGAACGCCGAAACTTCACACATTTTCAACACAACCGTTTTTTCGATAAACAACTGGTTGTCATAATAACGTCACGCTTTCACACAGTTTCCACATTTTACGATTCAGAATTCAAATAATTCACATTTTCAGAAGATATTTTGCAGAGCTGATACCAAAAAATTATGTATGCACCACGTACGCAAAATGATTTAGGGGACTCATCTCATTAAAGACTCGGCTCCTACGTCGCCTCGTCATTAATTACGATTCGTCCCCTAAAACAACATTTTGCGTACTTGATACATAAAATACTATTATGTTACAGTAAGATAAAGTGATTGTTTACTTCCGAAAATCGCTATGGTAATGTTTCGCTTTATTGACGGTTGGCGATAAAATAAATAAATTGATAAAACAATAATTCATTGTTATTTGACATATGACGTATACAAACTGCTTGAAAATAGCTCAAATTGCATTAGTTTTGATAAAATACTGAAAACAGTCGCACAAAATACCCATTGTGACACCGAAATAGAAAAAAGCTCTTATGCTTTTTTATGCACTTTCCCTTACTTATATGCTTTGTTCACTTATTTGTTCTTATGCTCTTTCTCTTCCTTATTATGTTTTGCGTTCTTATTTGTTTTTATGCTCTCTCTTTCTCTCTCTCTTATTAGAACATGTGCACATGTTTTAAAGTTCGCGCGTTTATACGTCCGTCATTTTTTATTACTAATTTGAATTAGTATTTGCATTCGAATTAGTGAAAAATTCCTAACTTGAGCGAGGTTTGAACCCCGAACCTATCTGCCGGAAAGCGGGACTTAATGCCACTACACCACTACGCCACCGACATTCTCAATGTTTTAATTCACTATATTCATACTTACACAAAATTTTTCAAAAATTCATTTCTAGTATTTTTAAACCGTTTTGTACTTTTGTAAGTTTCTTAAATTCCCAAGAGTGCAAATGGTTCAATTTTGACGTTTTCGAATTTTCGATTTTTCGATTTTCAATTTTTGTCGAAATTCTGAGCGGTTTATTGCTAATAACATCGGAATTATTGACTCTAGTCCTTTTTGTGTGGTACTGTTGAAAAACAAATTTAATTTTTTATCATATAAAAAATAGTACATTATATATTATAAGTGATAGAAATGCATCATTATACGCGAGTGAGACACTTCTCACGAGTTTTATAATGGCATTTCGATCACGTGTGATATACTATGTTTTATCTTACAGGTGCAACTATCCAAAAACTGAAGTTTCATTCAAGTAAAATATTCACCAATAAAAATATAACAGTAAATATAATAGTCAAATTTACTTACTTGTGAGTACTTTATCTCACTTGTGAATAATATTTGATTTCTATCACCGAAAACAATGGTCTAAGGTAGCTCAAAAACTCAACCTGTAAGATAAAGATAATTGTCCTACGTTCAATAGTTATCGAGAAACTTGCTGATGAAGTTAAAAATATCTAAAATATTAAATCAACTATAACTTGTAGACGTCAAAAATTCTGTAGTTTTTTCGACGCCAATCGATTTCTCGGAACATTTTACATATGTATGCAGTATGCATAAAAACATTTAGAATGTTTTTTGGTTTCTAAAATATCATTTTGGTTTTATTACCATTACAAAATAGTTTTGCCTGATTTTGTTCTGGGGAAGAAAGAAGGGGTGCAACCTCCAAAACCCTTCTTGCTGCGCCACTGTCTTTCACAATTGGAATTCAATTAGAAATAATTGCCGTTTTGAGAAATGCGAATAAAACTTGCTTCATTTTGTATAAAATAATAAAAAAAGTTGCATTAAATGACTTGAAATAGCTTTTATTGATAAAATAGATAAGATACAATAAATTTATAATAATTCAGCTTTTTCAAATGATTATTTTCATATTTGTAAAGTTTCCACGACATTCTCAATAAATATCTATGTCCGAATAATTGTTTCACTTGTGTATTACAGCGTTCACAAATGTGAAAAACGACAGTCCATTTTTCAAAACCTAAAACAACAGTTTTGTTATGAACCAATTTATGGAACACTTCTACCAAATTAAAGCTTTGTAGATCCAGATTTCCGTATCCTGCCAATGATAAACTCGCAGCATGTTGAGCTCTTTGGATAACAATTAGTTTATCAGTTTTCTTTTCGTACATTTTGTTTAGTGACCAATCGTGATAAAATATTTCATCGGAAATGTTAACACTCTGCAAATAAATTTAATAAAGTACTGTTTTAATGCTCTTAATATGAATTTATTACCCAATCAATTATTAGCTGGCCTGCGAAACAAAAAACCCAAACTTGAGTAATGTAATAAACCACATAAGGAACGTATTTTGAAACGTGTTCATAATCTGGTGGAAATCTTAAAATTTATAAATGAAGACGAATTAAAATTGAAAGAAGTTGGCTTACCCGTCTGATATAAAGAGATATAAGCCGAAACAAATACCAAAAAGACATGAAATGTGCTGACTCAGTAGTAACATTGAATAAACTGAGTTAGCACGACTGATATAACTAAAAAAATTATAAATTAAAAACACAGTGTGTAACAAAATTTGTACATACTGTAGCACAAATCTGTGATGTTGAATGGACGACTTGAACCTTTTCTTGTCATTCCCAAGTGTCTCAATTTTCAAACTACTGAAAGCAATTTTAACCATTTGCAACTCTGACAAAACATGAGCAATAAGAAAGAAAAACAATCCGTCAAAACCACTAATTAAATTAAAATTCAACATAAGAAACACAGAGTGAAAAATTAAGTAACATAACAATGCTCTTGAACTAAGACCTTCAGTTTCTCCATAACTCAAAATCATCGGTTTGTCACTCCCAATTGTGAGCAAAAAGTATTGTGAACAACTAAATACCAACATAAGTCGGTATCCTAGATAAAAATTTCGCACATATTCGTGTCTTATTGAAATATTGTGTTGGTAATTTTCCCCAAATTTATCCATTGCCCAAAATTCGGTACTTTTTTGGACCAGTTGTGCGAGTTGTTTTCTGTAGACGAGCAAAATTGCAATTTTCACGTTGTTCTAAAAATTTCAAGTTTAAAGAATATTTGCAAAAAAAATAATTACTTGGAAAAAAGGAAACACGATTTCTGAACTACGAACAATCACATGAGGGTTGTCGTAGTGGAGAAACAATTCTAAAAATGAGAAAATGTTGCCCAGGGCAAAAACTGTAATTGTGATAAACTTCCGAATTTTGGAAAATCGGTCATTTTTGAAAGGGTTAAAACCCATTACATTGAGGTGAATCAAAGGGTGCGATAAGTTGACTTTATCCATAATCGAATCTGTCTTCCTGATACTCTCTTTTATATAAAAAAAATTGCCCCAATTGAGCTATTTAACAATTTACTGAAACCCAAAGTTATCATTACAAAAAAATTGCTTTTTAAATTTTTTAATAACAGAACATGAACCAATCGACCAGTCGAAAGCAAGTTATGGAAAAAGTACGACTAACTGAACCTCTTTTTCTCTTACATATTGTCGGAATGAGTCCTCACGACTCGGGCAAGTTTGCCCAAATCCGCAAAATAATTTCCATACTTGTGTATATTTCGACTGTTAGTCTTTCAATGATTGAGCTTTTTTTCAACTACAAAAATCTGGAGACTTTGATTCGAGCTACTGAATCTTTTTTCACTCAATACGGGCTTGGTTGGAAAATCGCAATTTTTGTAATCTACAAAACAGAATTAGTCCAAATAATCCAACTCTGTGACGATTTATGGTCATTGGACGAATTTAAAATTCGCCACAATTTCCAATTTCAGCACAAGTTTTTGCGCAATTTTTTTCTTTTTTACACCGGGAATCTGGTCATTTTGTGCACACAATTTGCCGTTACGGCATATTTCGACAACCAATTTAAATCTGTGATAGTTTATTATGGCGAACAAGAGTCATTTAGCGAAAATTATGACAATTTTGTGTTTGTTTTGCAAGTGATTTATCTCTATATTGGGAGTTTAGTCGTTGCTGGTTTCGATTGTTTCTTTTTTTATTTGTTGGGACATGCCGTTTCAGAACTGAAAATGTTAACAATTTCGTTTAGTTGTAAAGAAATTGGAAAAAAATGGAGTTATGAAGAGAGGTTTAAATATTCCGTCAAACACCACATATACATTCTTGAGTAAGTAACAAAAACAATTTTTCATTAATTTTTAAAGGCTTTTGGAGAAAATTAACAACGTTTATTCGGTCATGCTTTTAAACCAACATCTCTGCTCACTGTTTGGAATCTGTTTTGGAATTTTTTTAATGACTAAAGACGGGTTTGTGCACAAATTTCGAAAATTAATATCAAAATTCGAATTTTTTAGAATACCGCCCGATGTTGATCATTTTAGCAAATGGTCGACTTATATTTTTACGTTTGTTCTTCAAGTTTGGATGTACTGTTTTGCAGGAGATCAAATAATACATTGGGTAAACGATTTTTTTAAAAGTATTTGAATTTGATGAAATTTTTAGTCGTTGAAAATTCCGGATGAAATTTTTTATAACAATCATTATTGGAACACTAAATATTCTTTCAAAGATGGTTTGAATAAAATTATTGCGATACAAAGGGGGCAAAAGGCAGCAGGAGTCTCACTTGGAGGATTTGAAATGCTCCATATTGGAAGTTTCAACATAGTAATAGAAAATTTGATTAAATTAAGGAAGTTTATCAATTTTTTCAGGTGATTAAAAATGCAGTTAATTTTTTCATGTTTATGGATAAAATGTATAAAAGGGAGTAGAAATAAAATCTAAACCGTCAATTTTGTCTTACTTTTAAATAATAAATGACTGTTTAAATATTCTATAAAGACTAGACATTAACTCATTACACAACTGAAGTTGTATTTTTAATAAACTATAACTACCACAAACTGTGTTATACAATTTTTAAAAAGTGCCCTAGCTTTGTCAGTCAGAGTTATGGATAAAGTCAAATTTTCTGACCCGATTTTGTTCCTAAACGTCATAGGAATGCATCCTTTAAAAACCGACAATTTTTCAAAATTTCGTCAAGCATTTTCAATCGCTGTATTCTTTGTTGTAATTTTTTTGGGGGTTTTAGAACTCATTTTCAATTCTCAAGGATTGGAAACGTATGCACGTGCTTCTGACACAATGATACCACAATATCAAGTAAAACATTTTTTCATTTTTTTTTTTAATTTTTGATTTGTAGTTACTTTGGAAAATGTTTTTTCTGGTGTTTTACAAAAAACAAATCGCCCAACTTTTAAACAGTAGTCAGAGATTTTGGCATTTAACCCAGTTTGGTTCACAACACCGCAAAAATTTTACCAAAACTCATAAATATTTAAAAAGTTTTTTCTTCTTGTATAAAATAATGATTACGTTTACTTGCTTGCAATTTCTTGCAGTGAAAATAATTTTTAAAATGCCCAAACCGATTGCTATAAGTTATGGCGAGACTCTAGGGTTAGAGCCACGTTATGATAACTTGTATTTAATTTTGCATACGATGATTACTATAATTTCGATTAATTTGATTAACGGTTTCGATGGTCTCTTTTTTTATTTTGTTGGACACATTTTATCAGAATTAAAAATGGTCCAGGTTGCTTTTGGGAATTCTCCAACTGGAGTGAGGAAAAGAGATTTAACATTGCTATCAAGCACCACAGATTCGTATTAGAGTAAGTAAAACTAACTTATTTGAAATTTTGTAAAATGATAGATTTAAGCTTTATTGAAAAATTTAATAAAGTTTGTCGCACGGTGCTTTTAAACCAGCATTTGACGTGCCTTTTTGAGAATCTGTTTTGGACTTTTTGACCAAAGACGGGTAATTATAATAATTAACTACGAAATTTAGAAAAAACGATTTTTTTAGAGTACCACCAGATTTGAATCGTGCTAGCAAATACTTGCCATATATTGTGGCTTTCATTTTGTAAACTTTCACGTTTTGTTTTGCTGGAAATCTTCTAGTCAATAGGGTATTTTACTAATTTTGCAAACTTATATTTGTATTTTTAACAGTCTTTAGAAATCCCAAACGAAATTTTTTACCACGACTGGGAGAAAAAAAATTAGCAAAAATTATTTCAATGAAACGGGGACAAAGAGCAGCAAGGTTGACACTGGGAGGTTTTGGTAACTTAGATTTAGACAGTTTTAGAATGGTTAGAGATAATCAGACTTTCACATTATTGTTTAGTAACTTTTTAGTATTTCAGGTCCTGAAGAATACTTTTTCGTTTTTCACTTTCGTTAATGCAATGCTCTATAAAAAGACAGATAATAATGCTTAAATGTTATTTATTGTTATTTCGTTTAGCAAATAAAGTTTATAAAGAATTTTTGTGATTATTTTTCGTTCATAGCGTTGACAAATGTAAAAAAAGAAAAAGCGTTTTTGACCACCTGCAATAAATAAGTTAGCATTAATTTTATTGATTCCAGTCTTACCAAATTAAAACTTTCCAAATTCAAATCCCCAAATCCTCCAAGTGTTAATCGTGCTGCTCTTTGTCCCCGTATTATTGCTATAATTTTCTCTGTTTTGTATTTATAAGCGTGATGTTTACTCCAGCCATTGTAAAAAATAGCATCGGGTACTTGTAATGACTTGAAAAAAATATTTCTTTAAATTTTTGGTTGCTCTAACTTACCCAACTAATCAGTAAAGAACCGATAAAGCAAAATGTGAAAGTTTGTGTTATAAATGAAATCACATATGGCACATATTTGGTAATGTGTCCCAAGTCAGGTGGTATCCTGAAAACAGTTTGAAATTGGTTTTGAAAACTTGGTTTTATAAATTTGGACAAGTTTTACCCATCTTTTGATACTAAAAACAGTCCAAAACAGATGCCAAAAAGACAACTCATATGCTGATTTAAGAGTACTTGGGAATAAATTTTGTTCAATTTTTTCACAAATCTAAAAAAATAGAAAATATTTTATGAATATTTTTTTTTAATTTGATTTACCTTAATACAGAGGCGTGGTGCTGTATCGTTTCCAAAAATTTGTCTTTGCGATTATGTGATAGTCGGTACGAAATTTCAACTAATTTCAATTCAGTCAAAACGTGACCGATGAGATAAAAGAAAAGACCATCGAAACCAGTAACAGCATACAAGATCACAAAAGTCGTAGTTGAGTGAAGCACAAAATACAAGTGATCAACTTCTGGAGACAATCCTTGTTTTTCGCCGTACGAAATAGCCAAAGGTTTGTTACTCTTTGAGACAAATTTCCTCAAAATATACTGAACGGTCATTAAAAACATTATAGTTTTATAAACAAAAAAAAATGTTTTGAGTAGTCTATGTGGCCGTTCCAATTTTGCTTGTTGTCCAAATTTGTCAAGTGGCCAAAATTTCTTGGTTTGGTCAATCAACACGACTAAATCTTTTTTGTGTTTGAGTAAAATCGCGATTTTTATAATTAACTAAAAATTAGAATTACTTGGGAGAAATGATTTATTTGTGGCAACCTGGTATTGCACAATCATTGCTTCCGAGGCCCGAGAACAGGTCTCCAACCCATCAAAATGCAGCAACAATTCTAATAATCCAAGAATAATCACAACCAAGAAAAGACCAAGAGAAACAACTCTTCGAAAAAGAGAAAAGTTTGAATAATTCAGGGGGTTTACACCCACGACGTTTAAAAATTTCAACGGTTCCGTGAACTTGACTTTGGCCATGGTTTGGTAAAACTGAGGAAAAATCTTGCTCGCGTGATTCATTTATACGTTACAAATTTTTAATGACAAAGAACAGGAAACATGAAACGTTATTTTCATTTCTCATTATAAACTAAACCTTCATACAGCCCTATTTTTTTCAAAGTGTTATAATAATCAAAGTAAAGCCAAGATTTGTCTTTCTTCGCCGACCAAATTCCACCAATTTTCACGAATTCTTGATACCTGATTCGCCCAATGTGCATGATACCGTCGTTGTTAATGAAATCGTAACCTCCAGGGACCGGATTTTTTTTAGTTAAGACTTCATCAAAAGTTGTATACGTGGAGGGCACCCATTCAAAATTTTCCGGTTTTTGGGTACACAAAATCTAGAAAAAATAAATTAAATAATTGAATCAAAGAAGAATTTTGCTAACTTTAATATCATTGGTTGCTTTTTTAACACCCCACCAACCAGCACTAACGGTCATTGTTCCGGGACAAATTTGAACCACGTAGAGGCCATCGTTGTGGAAGTAAGCTTGGCCTATAAATAGGTCTTCATCGTTGGAATCCTTGCCTCCGGGGAGGGCATCCGGAGGTATGTCTCCGGTATACTCCTTCCAATAGTAACCTGAAACAACTGAATACAAACTGTTTAAAAATTGTGACACTACCATCATCAGCAGTTGTCCCTTGAAAAATGAAGTCTACGAAAATAAAAAACGACGAGAAGAAATTAAAGTTTGTCATTATAGAAAGGTTTTTGAAAGACTAAACAGAAAATAGATTGAGTTTGTCAAGGGTTACAAAAGGTCAAAAGATGCAATTAACGCGATAATTGTAAACTTGTATTTTTATTAACATAAAATAGAACAAATTATCGAGCATTTTATTTAATCAAAACAATAATTAGTTGCATTTTTGATGTTATTGACCAAATCGTTGTTCTTAAATAGCAACACCTCGTAAGAAGAAGCAATTTTTTGACATTATTTGAAGTGAAATAAAGACAAGCATTTTCAATTGCGTATCCTTTAACACTTCCAACTTTGATGCTCCCGTCAGACATCACACGCCCCACGTGAAGCATTCCTCTGGTAGCATCAACATGATCGTAGCCTCCAATCACCACATGTTTTCCAATTGTGTCTACAAGAAGAGTCTTGGCAGTYGTTGGGTACCAAGAAAACCTGTCGTGATATTTTGAACACAAAATCTGAGACAAATCATGTTTTAATCACAGTTTATAACATTGTAATAGCACCTTTTGAACTGGACTTGGTTTTGTCAGAGTGTAATAACCAACAGTGTCTGTTGGAGKAAATGGAAATATTTGCATTACAAAAAAACCGAAAGTGTGTAAAAGGGTTTGACCGATGTAAGTGTTTTTTCCGTTGAGGTCTTTCCCAGCAGGAAAGGCATTTTTGGGTATTTTTGAGTTTGATGAGTAGTCTCGCCAATAGTAACCTAAATTTTTCTTTTCTTTCTTTCGAAACTTTAATTTGGAGTAAAAAACGACTTACCTATGTCACCTTGAGTTAGAAAAAATTGTAATAGAAGTAAAAAAAATAAAAGTGGGTATTTCATGGCTGTGTTTTTAACAAAATGATAAATATTTATGTATGATTTGAATGAAGAAAGACTTATCTATTTACATTTTTAATTAGGATTGACGTCAGGCTGCAACTGTGTGGAGTTTACCCATTTTATTTATAATGGATTTAGAAATACAATGTTTGTTTTTCTGGAAAATACTAAACAAATATTAAAAAAGAGAAACAACAAGAAACGAGTCAACGAGTGTGAACTAGAATAAAAAACACAGTACAAAAAACCATCTATGTTTCGGTCTTTATTACTAGTCGCTCTCAGTGTTAAAATTTTTAGTCAATTGTGACATTTTTTAAATATTCCATAAAAAATCAAACAAAAAGATGAACAGGAAGTAGTTAAAATAAGCCAGGTGAAGCGAATGTGTGATACAAAACGTTTTTTGCTTAAACTATATATTTTTTTTTACAAAAACTATGATTAAGTATTACAAATATCCACATTTTATTTAATTTTTAACATTTTTTTTTATGTAAGTAGCCGATTTGAAAAAAAATCGCATAACTAAAAAAAAAGCAAAATTTGATTTTTAAAACACGATCACATAACAATAAGTTTTTTTAATTTCCTTGTATTTTAGTACAATAGTAAAAAACGGTAACATTAGTTTTGCACTTTTAGATCGTTTTAGCACGTTTTCCAGTCAGAAACGCTATCATTTTAAAACAATTTGTTAAAAATAAACCAAAAATTACTAAAGACGTTTTAGCACATTTTATATGCAATGCAATGAAATTAAAGTTTGCCTTTTGTTTTTTTGAAATGCTATTTCATAAAATTGACGCTGTAGTTTATTCAGGTTTCAAGGTTTTTTAAATATTTTTTGTAGAACCTTTAGTTTTTTTGCATTTTTTTTGATTCGCTTATTTCTTTTTTATACTTGACTTTATTTTATTTGCAAGTAAATTTTATAAATCCATACCGATTCTTGAGAAACTCTGAAGGAGTCATAATTTTTGTTTTGCATACCAGTTTTTGTTTTTCTAATAAATAAATTAAAATACCAGAAAATAAATTATGTAATCATCTTAATTCATTCGAACATCAATACTAAAAACCGCAGATTTACTATAGACTAGCGCTTCATACAAACTAGATTTTMTCAAYARATTGTTGTGRCCAAAATAAAAATCAGCTTTTTCAATTTGTGACGACCAAATGCCTCCAATTTTAACAAATCCTTGATACGCCAATCTTCCAATATAGAAATAACCATCATTGTTCACAAAATCGTACCCTCCTGGTACTGGTTGTACTCTCGTGGTGTTAAAATGGTAGTATTGACTAGATGTAGAAATCCATTGAAAATCTTCAGGACTTTCGGTACATAAAATCTAAAATCTGAAACAGTTACCCAAAATTATGAAGAAACTTGCATTTTACTTTGATATCATTAGCAGCTTTTTTTACACCCCACCAGGCTGCGTCTARTTCTATTCGTCCAGGAAAAATTTGAACAATGCAGAGGCCGTGTCCGTGGATGTATGCTTGCCCAATGTAGSTGTCACGACCACTGGAATCTTTTCCACCAGGGAGAGCATCTGATGGTATTAACCCATCGATGTACTCCTTCCAATAATATTCTAAAATTGTATAAATAAAAATTGCAACTGCTTTTATTATTTACTTACCTTGTTTATTCGTGCTTCCTTTGTGTTTTATTAGAGCTAAAATTAAGCAGAGAATTAAAGACTTTACCATTGTTGAAGAGTTCAAGCAAAATGAGCAGATTATAATTGGATAATTAAASGAGGTCAGCTGCGATAAATAAATTACGAACTGACTTGAAACATTAATTTAATCTATATCTATCTAACCRAGGCTTGGTTTTTCTCGAATTTCAAATAAAATCGCCGCTAAATTATTCAAAATTTAATTTAGTCGCATTATAACATTAATAAATTAATTCAAGGTCTCGTTACAATTCATTAACAAAGTTTTCCAACTTATAATAATAGGTTTGAGGCAAGTATTCTTTTACAACAGTTTATCAAGAATGGAGAAAGCTCTCACATTAATAAATCTCCTAGGACTTGATCCTCGAAAATTTTCAAAATTTCGCTCAATTTTCTGTTTTGCRTGTCTAGTGTTAATTTSTATTTCAAGTCACTTGGAACTGTTTCTAAATTTCAAAGGCCTTGAAACGTGTGAAAGAGCATCTGAATCTATCATTCCTCAATACCAGACACTATTCAAAATGGTGTCATTTATCCTGTATAAAAAAGAAATGATAAAACTGATCCAAGAGTTTAAGTGMTTTTGGAAGTTGCAACAATTRGGTGGCTACGACGCTAAAAATGTGCTAYCAACGTATAATTTTTTCCACATAATTTTTTACCTTTATGTAGTTATATTAGGTTTAACTTGTGCTGTGTTCGCGCTTGTAAATTTTATTTTCAAGCCCGYAAAACCAATTTCGCTGTGTTATGGAGAGTCRGAGGGACTTGAAAGTCCTTATTTTGAAATTTATCTCGTTTTGCAGTCGGTTGTGGTTGTGATAATTTTTGTGGGAATAGCAGGGTATGACACCCWTTTTCTTTATTACGTTGGGCAAGTTTGTGTGCAGTTCAAAATACTGAAAATTGCTTTTGGAAAACATCACACAAGTGACGAGTTTCTAGAAGTGGTCAAACATCACATTTTTTTGTTGAAATACYTCGACAAACTTAACGTGATTTATTCACCTTTTTTTCTATTTCAATACTTTTCCAGTCTTTTTGGGATCTGTTTTGGACTATTCTTAATCACAAAGCAGGGGTTAGTGTCACACTTGCGAAGAAATAATAAACAAAAAWTTTTTAGTTTGCCAACAGAACCGGATCGACTTTGCAAATATTTYCCTTATATTTTTTCGTTTACAATGCAGTCTTTTYCGTTTTCGATGACTGGCAGTTTATTGTCTGATTCGGTAAATTWGCRCAGTTTGAAATTTATATTGATTGTTTTTTTCAGTCCATGGACATTTCGAATGAAATTTTTTACGCCACTTGGACTASAGAAAARTTTTCTATAGATAAAARTTCAAGACTTATAATTATGAGTCGGACACAAAAGCCGGCTAAATTAACTATTGGGAAATTCCTCGACTTGAATTTGAGAGCTTTTATACTGGTATGTACCTACATTGAAACTAAATATATGAATAAAATATTTTTTTTATTACAGTTGATGAGAAGTGCATTTTCATTTTTTGCTTTTGTGAATAATGTCTTGAATCMAATTGATTAAATTTAGTGATTTTTTCATCTAAAAATTTGTTTATAAAAATTTCAGTTTATTCTCACACTTAAATAAATAAATTATTTCTACAATCATTTATCAATTTAGTCCTTCTGAATCGTAAGAACAAATTAAACTCCAACTATTAGTCGATAAAAATAGCTTTATATTACTTTGCATTTAAAAAGAGAAAAATATACAAATATATCCTAATAAATAAAACGGTTATAAGGTTTTTTTACGACCCTAACAGAAAGTAAGTTTTTCCACCCTAATTTCAGAAGGAAAAATGGCCAATTACCTCTCATAGTGGTAAAACTTTTACTCTCTCAAAGTTACAATGAAAATATATGTAACCTCTCAGAAAGAAAAAAAAAACCTCCCTCATAGAAACGAAAAAACATACTGCTTGATTTGATGGCAAAAGTACGATATTAAGAGAAATTGTTAGTTTTTCTTGCTGGATCGTAGGAAAAATTATATGTATTACACTGGAAGAAAGTGTCTTTACCTTCTTCAAGTCTCGGGCAGTAACTTCCACATTTTAACTGCATTCATATTTTAATTCGCAAATCATTTGACGTTTAAGAACGCAAAATAAATGATAACAGAATTCGAATATCAGAATATACAGTGTGTCCCCGGATAGGTGAAACGCCTCTCGTAAAAGGTAAAAAATCTTGCTCTAAATTTGCATTTTTTTTTAGATTTAGCACTGCTTATTAGTTGAAGACCAATTACTAACATAATTTTAGTTTAAAAAAATGATATACAGGGTGCGCCAGAACTCGCGCCCCAGAGAAAATTTTCAAGTAAGGTAAGATACCAGGAACATGAAAAAAATGTTTAAAAATTTTTATCTGTCAAAAAATTTTGACATTTATTTTTTGACATTTGACATATTTTTATATCTATTTAAGGATACTGATGATCTTGTATATGTTTTTTTACAATTATTTAGTAAAGGGACAAAAATTTTGGCAATAAAAGCCACAAATAACATTGAACAGAGTTACAATTTAGGATACAGCTTTCTTGTTTCCTCTTTTAACAGCCTATAGCAAAAAAACTTGGAAAATTATTTTTCCAACAGAAATAAATAGAATCAAAGTGCAAACTTTAAACCCTCATAACTTCGAAATTTTTATACATAATATTTTTAAATTTTTTTTCCATGTTCCTGATATCTTACCTTATATGTCATTTTTCTCTGGGGCGCGAGTTATGGCGCACCCTGTATGCGTTGGTGATTTAAAAAAAAAACATTTTTTTCTAAATTGCCTTTTTATGTAGCAAATAATTGGGTTCCTCTAAGAAAAGTATCAATAATTCCTTAAGAATCTGATTTAGTTAATCTTTATTTTAAAGAACGGTGTTCGAACTCCGCTCAAGTCAGCAATTTTTCTCTAATTCGAATTCACATACAATTTAAATAAATAGCAAAAGATTGCGGGCGCATAAAAGCGCGAAAACTAAACATGTGCACCAGGGGCGGACTGGTAAATTTTTATATGGAGTGCTAAAAGTTGAAATGAGGGCCCAATATATAATACAATAAAAATATGTATAAAAACTACTTGTCACTTAATGTAGTATTTTTTTGAAGGAGTTTGTTTCCTTTATTGAGATTGTGATGTCAGTTGAAATCGTGATGGTTTAATAATAACCGAAAAAAAAATCTAAAAAAGTTTTTAGATGAACGTCTTTAAAGGCTGCTTGTAATTTTAATTTTCGTTTTTCTTTTCGTTTCTGTGCACCAAATTATACTTATACTTCGATTTTTCCATTTATTTATGCCCTCTAATAATACCTAATAAAAAAAAATAAAAATTAAAATTAAATTCATTTAAGTAAAAACGATATTTTATATCGGTTGATTAAAAAATGTGTGGCAAAATTTTAATTACGAACACCCCTCTACAATTGAGAATAGATAGTACAGTATTTATTGACCCAACTCAAAAAATAGAAAAACTACAACTTTCCAAAAGTCGTTATGAAAAAATGATTTTCTGGAAATATTTTTGTTACCGTTTATCCGATTATTATTAAATTTTGCATAGACAGCAATGGGTCCTTCCAGTGTTAGGATTATAACTTTTTTTCGGCTTATTAATTTCTGTTTTTGAAACAGCCCAACATTTTTTTTAAAAAAAAAAAAAAGGTACTTTCATATCGCCAAAATGTACCGTTCTCGAGTTATTTGAGTTTAAACTAAATTCTACACCGCGCTACAAAATCAGAATTTATAAATTTTGAGCGTACGTTGGAAAGAATCCACTACGAATGACATCGCTGTCAATGCTGTCATATTTAATGTAAATTTCATTAAATCCAAAGTAACATTTGTGTGTTTCTTGATGATTATAAAAGCTGTAATTTTTCTATTGCTTGATGAGTTGGATTACTGTGTTATCTATGCTCATTTGTAGAGGAGTATTCGTGATTAAAATTATGACACAAATTTTTGAATCACTTGTATAAATCTGCGCGGAATTTTTCTTACATGCGTGTAAGACTTTATAAACATTGAGCTAAAATAATTGAAATTATAGAAATTATAGTTTTATTTGTTATGGTGTCAATTTTTTAATTCCTTCAAACTAAACACACTTATATTCTGGCGCAGCATGTATAGCATCTGCGAAAATCGCGGTTCAGCACTTCATGGATTAGCTCAATGCATTGTGGAAAGTTTATTTACAAATTTAAAATAATTGATATTATTTCAATGAGCTCTTGACATAATAAGCCTACCATAATTGGGGGCCCGTAAGACTCGAGGACCCGGGGTGCCCCGGCACCTTTGGCCAGTCCGCCCCTGAATGTGCACATGTTCTAAAAAGTATAATAAGTGAAAAAGAGAGAGCATAAGAGCACATAAGTGAGAAAAGCATAAAAAAGAGAAAGAGTATAACACCATAAAAAAGCAAGAGAGCTTTTTTATCGCTACCACAATTTTTTTGATTTTTCTAAGAAAAATTTAAATACTAACAATTCAAATAAGTGTCAAAATGATTTCACATCTTGCATCCTAAAATTTTTTCACTCAACTTGTAATAAAAATTCTAAACATTAACCCGCTTCTTGAAACCAGAAATAAGTTAACACAGATACCAAGAAAGCCGAAAAAAGTGCATTAAAAATATCGGCGAAAAAACTTTATTGACTTTGTCAACTAGTTCTTTTTTGTAAATAATCAAGGCACACATTTTAAACAATGCTTGAAGATGAGAAATTGTAGATTGTGGTTCAGTTTTATGTTTCATACATTCGA